GACTCAGTACCAAAAAAAGGAAAAAAGAAAACATTCCTTAGGCCAGTTGAGTTTAGTAGGTGCTGTGGCTTAGGGTCTTCGCAAGGGGAGCTATATAATACAGGAAGCATTTTATAATATTAGTTTATAAAGAATCATCCAAGAATCATACACAAGAAGTCTAGGAAATGTGTCCATACACTAAACACTAAAGAATCCAACTGAAAGCCTAGAGCCTATAACAATGCCTCCTACAAGTCCAACTGGAGGCCTAGAGTCCATAACAAGTCTCACATAGGCCTGTTTCACAGATATGTGCTAGAAAAGTCCAAAGGTCAGTGGTGGAAGCTAGAAAGTCTATGCCAGCAGGATGAAGGATCTGTGCTAGCAGGCTGAGGGATCTGAACCAGAGCTAGGAAGCAACGCTCAAAGTAAGCACCAGAGCTTCCCCAAAGGTATGACAACCATAGTGAGGTCCCAAGCTCCTGCAGCGATGAGGCAAGCTGAGTTCCCATCAGGAAAGCTAACACAACATGCTTCTCCATGAGGCTGAGCAGTGCACTACCTTCCCCTCCAGAGCGAGGAAGCGATGCTCTAGATGAGGACCAGATCTCCTCCAAAGTTCACTGGGAAAGCCGGTATGCCACGGTCCTCAGGCAGAACAGTCCAAGAGAGCTAGCAGCTTCCAGCAGCGTCCAAAAGCTCCAACAGCTTCCCCAAACATCATCCCTAACAGCATTTTGGCAGCTTCTCCTGTTTTGCCCTCTTGCGCTGCCGGCAACAATCCTCAGGTGGGCCGCCCGCATCCAGCACCCAGCCACACCTAGTTCAATTCAGCTGGGTGTTAGAAGTTGACCAGCAGTTAAAGATCCAGTATAGTAAGGTTTATTTAAGCAAATAAAAACAAAACACAAGTGTGGGAGGATGGACCACAAGCCAGGTCTGGTGGCATATACCTGTAATGCCAACATCTGGGAGGCTGAGGCAGGAAGATAGATACAAGTTTGAGGCCAGCCTGGGCTACATAGTGAAACCTGTCACAAACAACACAATTCCAACATTGGGTAGCTTCCAAAGCAGGTTCTGAGAACTCTGTCAACAACCTGATCAGACAGCATTTATAGAAAAACAAAGAAGAGAACTAGAAAATAACTTCACTGGCTATATAGCCTACTAGTCAAGTTTTTACAAACTAGTTAGCCATAGTTGTTTGCACCCTAGTTCACTGGCTGCAGGACTTCTGCAGCCAACCAAAGAGCTCAGTTACTATAATTACATTCTGTGTTGGCTGGGTCTGGTCAGTCTGTATTGTATTTGCTGTCACTGAAACCTTTTTGATCCTTTATTTGGTTGTCTGAGACAGTCTTGTTATGTAGTTGAGGCTTGTCAACTATGTAGCCCATGCTGTTCTCAATTCACAATGATCCTCCTGCCTCAGCCTGCTGAGGGCAGGGATTATAGGTGTGCACCACCATGCCCAGCTGTGTCCTTTTGAAAATTAGACTACTCATCAATACCATGCTTCATGCACACCAAAGTCTTAAAACTTACAAAGTCATTCCATGTTTTATATAGTTTTTCCTTTTAGGTTTAAGTAGCCCTAACAAAATCACATAAATATTTACCAAAATACATTTCCTTTTTTTCTGAATTTATATTCACTTGAATTTGGATTCTTTTTTTATGTATTTAGTACAGGGTCTACAAGGTCTCATTATATAGATTGCACTCGTGATAATCCTCCTGTTTTCAGCATCCCAAGCACTGGGATTACAGGTGTGTACCACCACGCCCGGTCTCAGTTGCTGTCTCTTGCATACCCCAGGGGTGGTGCCAGGGGATTGAAACCCTGACCCCTGCATCCACCTAAGCAGGAGCTTTAATCTGCTGAGCTATCTGGCCGGCCCTGGAATTTGAATTCTTTATCTGGAATTTGATGAGAAGTTAACAGGAAGAGTCTATAACTTTATTTATTTATTTATTTATTATCTTTTTTTTTATATTTATTTATTTTTATTTATTACATTTATTTATTGTGTGTGTGGCCAGCTCAGCCCACCAGGGGGCGGGGCTGGCTGGCATGTGGTGCTGGGGATCGAACTGTGGTCCCTGTGCTTCGCCAAGCTTGATTCAAGTAGGTGCTTTAGACCACTGAGCCATCTCTCCAGCCCTATTTATTATCTTTTTGAGATAGGGTCTCACTATGCAGCTCAAGCTGGTCTTGAGCTCACTTTGTAGCGCAGGCTGGTCTGGAACTCACAACAATCCTCCTCCTGTCTCAGCCTCCTGAGTACTGGGATTACAAGTACTGTGTGTGTGTGTGTGTGTGTGTGTGGTACCAGGAATTGAACTCAGGACCTTGCACTTGCCAGGCAGGCACTTATTCCTGCTGAGCTATCTCCCTGCCCCCCTAAAAATACTTTTTAAAGTGGAACATTTTAGAAATTGCAGAATAAAACTTCTAAGTAATAAAAGAATAGCATGATAGTATGTTTTATTTCTTGTACTACATAAAATAATGGTGTATCTTAGACATTTAAGGTTTGTTAAATTCAATGAAATACACATGTCTGCTAGAAATGTTAGATGGAGAGATGGGTGGGCAATCATAACTTCAAATCATAAGAGTTGATTATGTTTTGAATTCTATTTTGTCAGTACATGTTTGCAATTCATAAAATTTACATTCATCTTAAGAAGTAGGTACGTGTACATAACATGTTGTCGTGGATTGTTAACTGGTGGTCAACTTGTTACACCCAGCTGAACTGAACTAGGGTGGTGCTGGGTGTGGGAGGCCCACCTGGCAATTGTCGCCAGCAGCATAAGAGGCAGAATTGGAGAAAAGCTGAAAGGGGCTGTTAGGAAAGCTGTTTTGGGGGAGCTGTTGGAGTTGTCAGAAGCTACTGGCTCTCTTGGGCTGTTCTGCTGGAGAAGCTTGTCATAATGGCTTTCCTGATGATCTTGGCTGTTCTTGTTGCTGGAGGAGCTCGGGACCATCATTGTCACTGAGAACCGCTGTGATTCATTTTGAGGGGGGAGATCTGGTCCTCATCTTGAGCATCGCTTCCTGACTCCGGAGGGGAAGATGCTGCACTGCCCAGTCTTGTGGAAAAGCTTGTCACATTTGCTTTCCTGATTGGAACTTAGTTTTCACTCCTCTTCCTCATTGCTGGAGGAGCTTGAGACCTCACTGTTGCTGAAGATGGCTATCATATCTTTGGGGAAGCTTTTGTGCTTACCTTGAGCATTGCTTCCTAACTCCAGTTCACATCTTCCAGGCGCTAGGAGAGATCTTTCATCCTGCTGGTATAGACTTTGTAACTTCCACCGCTGACCTTTGGGCTTTTCCAGCACAGATGCATGGAGTGGGCCTACAGGAGACATTGTTGTGGATTCTAAGCCTCCAGTTGGACTTGCGGGAGGCACTGTTATGAGCTCTAGGGCCTCAGCTGGACTCACACAGGATATTAGGATCCAGGCCCTCAGCTGGATTCTTTGGTCTTCAATGTATGGACAGATTTCCCACACTCATATATGATTCTTTAGGTGATTATAAAATCTTATAAAATGTGTCCTGTATTGTATTGTTTCCTTGACAAAAACGCCAAGCCACGGCACACATCCTGATTCGTTTTATTTTCCTTGCCCAGTTCATGATTTATTTATTTATTTGTATTTTAGGGATGGGTCTACAGGATGTTCAGGGTCTCACTACTAGATCGGATTCGTAGTGATCCACCTGTTTACAGCCTCCCAAGAGCTGGGATTACAGGCCCATGCCACCATGCCCAGTCTCAATTGCCATTTTGGTGCACCCGGGAAAGTACGGCACCCTAGGCCCAAGGATTGAACCCCGGACCCTTCAATCCACTGAGCTATTTGGCCAACCCCCCACTTGATATTTTAGACATGATTAAATAAGTCTATCTTCACTTTTATAAACAGGATAAATAAAACTAAATCCATAGCTAGATATATAGTAGAAAAGCTAAATAACTCTACATATGAAAATGTAGAAAAATGTTCTAAACAAAGCAAAAAAAAAAAAAAAAAAAAAGGGAGGGCTATATCCATATATGGGTGTGTGTAGGCAAATAATCCATTAACGTTGTAATATAGAAAATGCTTTTAATCAGGATAAATATTAAAGAATACAATAGCCAAGAAATGTGAAAGATGCTCAAATGCAACCGTTGAAATTCTCACATGAATGATCAGATTTTTGTGTGTGGGGTGTGTGTGTGGGGGGTTGTGTGTGTTCGTTACGGGGTCTCACTACACAGCTCGGACTCATAGTGATCCTCCCGTTTTCAGCGTACCCAGCGCTGGGATTACATGCCCTGTCTTGGTGGCCGGCCCAGCATATGGTGCCAGGGATCAAACCCCAGTCCCTAAACTTGCCTAAGCAGGTGCTCAGTCTGCTGAGACATCTTGTCGGCCCTAATTACAAACGTATTTTTAAAAACCTGTATTTATGTAAATCAAAAGCTTGCTGTAAACGATTGTCAGTGATCAGATGAGGAAGCGCTGGGGTGTTAAACATGGTGGCCAGGAGCCCACATAGCGGGAAGCGTATACTGCCTGCACCTGAGAAGTCTATCCCTGCTGCAGTACAAGAAATAAAGGCGAGTTTACAGCAGCTATGGTCTTCAGGGTCTACAGATGGCTTTTTCTCCTGGTAGGTTTGATTTGCACTTCACTTGCAAGGCTGGAAGCTCTGCACTTCCAAAGTAGAGGTCAGGAGAGGCACCACCGAATTGCAGAGTAACAATCCGGGCCCCGATCTCGCCTTCCACGGTGGCGGGCCGGTGTCCCCAAGGAAAAAAGCGGGAGGCGAGGGCACGCTGACCCGCCCGCCTCTGAAGGCCCGCTACGCGTTTGCCCGCCTCTGTATAAACGTGTTCCAATGGCTATTCAAGAAGGGCGGGATTCACGCGGGTGAGAGACACGATTGGTCTTTGGGCCTGGGATGGACGTGGCAACGTGATGACGTTCCAACACTGGGCGTAGGGGGCGGAAAGCGCGCTCGCGGGAAGCCTCGGCACTCTACGGCTGTCGGCGCAGCGGTTTGGTGGTGTCCGCCTTGGCTTGCGGCTCTCGCTGCGCCCTCGCCTGTTCTTAGCCTCGGGAAGCCTAAGCCGGCCGGGCTTTACTCCTTCCTCGTGTGCAGCTGCTTCGTCGTGACTCCATCACCATGTTCGAGGCTCGCCTGGTCCAGGGCTCCATCTTGAAGAAGGTCCTGGAAGCGCTAAAGGACCTCATCAACGAGGCCTGCTGGGACATCAGCTCGGGCGGCGTGAACCTGCAGAGCATGGACTCGTCCCACGTCTCCCTGGTGCAGCTCACGCTGCGCTCCGAAGGCTTCGACACGTACCGCTGCGACCGCAACTTGGCCATGGGGGTAAACCTCACTAGGTGAGCGGGGCGCGGGGACCCGGCGTGGAGCGGCCGCGGCCTCTGTTCTTGGCGGGAGCGCGCCGGGAGCCGTGCCCGGGTTGGCTGCCGAGGCCGTCAGGGGCGGGACCCGCGGAGCGCGCGGTTCCAAAAAGCCCGCGCTGGCAGCCGCGCCAGCCGGCTACTTCCGCGCCAAAGTCACAAAGCTCGCGGTGGCGGGAAAATGACCGGCTTCTCCGCAGTCTGCCCCAAAGTCTCCTTCAGGGCTCGTGGGTCATTAAATTACAGCAGTCGTGGAGGAGAAACCTTAATTCTGGTTGAGTTCAAACACCTTATAATGTGCAGTCGTGAGAAATTGTCATTCTGTCATCTTGTATGAGGACGATAGGTGTTTAGGATCTCTTACTCTTATTTTTACGTCCGGAACTTGTAGGAAAATTTACCCAGAGCAGGAGTTTTTAGCATTCTCATCACTGCTGATCCTGTACACGTGTGCACATTAAAAAAAAAAAAAGAAAAATAACAGTACCCAGAATACAATACACGGGGTGTGTTTTAATAAGTTTGGCGAGTCATATTTAAGTATCCTTGCGGCGTAATTTAACCCACGGAAGGGCTTTGGAGTTCAGAAAATACTCTTGTCCAGCGAGATGAAATACTCTTTGGTAGAGTGCCAGGTTGCATCCAAAATGGCAGGGCCCATATTCACCTCTTCCAAAGGCATTTACCCAGCATCCCCCCACCAGTTCCTCCCACTACCTGATGTATGTAAGTGCTAACTTCCAATGGCTTTGGAAATCTAGATGTTGGGTGGATAATGGGTCTTCTCTGTTTTAGCATGTCTAAAATACTGAAATGTGCTGGCAATGAAGACATCATTACCCTAAGAGCTGAAGATAATGCAGATACCCTGGCACTAGTATTTGAAGCACCAAGTAAGTTGGAGCCCTTCACTAATTATGGTATATAGTCATAAAGTGCATAGTTAATGGGAGCCTGAGGCAGAAAGATGGTAAGTTCAAGCCCAGGGCATAATGAGACCTTGTCACAATTTTTTCTTGAGGCAGGGTCTCACTGTGGTTCAGCCTGACTTTGAACTCACTGTGTAGCCCAACCTCCTTCTGCCTTAGCCTCTCAGTGTTGGGATTACAGGTGTGTGTTTGCTTGTGATGGTTATAACATTTACATCCTTATGAGCACATGGGTTTCCTGAATAACATTTGCTTCCATTTGGTAGATCAGGAGAAAGTATCCGACTATGAAATGAAGTTAATGGATTTGGATGTTGAACAACTTGGAATTCCAGTGAGTATATTTCTGATTAGAGAGTGTATCATACGGTGTCATGATTTAATTCTGTAACAGCTCGAACTACCAACACATAGAAGTTTTGAGGGCATTTAATCACATTTGATTTATATTAACATTTCGCAGTAAATTAGATACTTTGCCATTGATTGACCAAACACTTGCAGGAATAGTTGTAGAAAAAGTTCTGTTAGGAAGTAGGCCTTAAGTCATGTTACTGTGTCTTACATGGTGCATGTTAATAAAGTCTCCAGTTGCCCAGGCTGATGGATCTGTCATTTTTCTAAAATAGTCTAAAATTTAAAATTCGTCATCCGTTGAATTTATTGTGTTGCCAGGTACTTACTTACATTACTCATCCATGCAGTTTTCCCCCTAGAATGCTTCGTTTTTGTTAGACTAAGCATATCATAGAAATAATTATTAAGGACCTGGATTTAAGATAGGAGGCCTTATTTTTGCTCCCTGGATGATGGGAATGTGTTAACCAACACATCTTGTTTTATAGGAGCAAGAATACAGTTGTGTGGTAAAGATGCCTTCTGGTGAGTTTGCACGTATATGCCGAGACCTCAGTCACATCGGAGATGCTGTTGTGATATC